TGTCCGCGCACGAGGGCTCGACCACCTGCCCGCCCGCGCCCGCGCACACGCAGGATGGGCAGGAGAGGGTCGGCGGCGCGGGACACGCCAAATGCGGGGAGCAAGACCCGCAGCTGGGAGCCGAAGCGCGGGCCACCAGCGAGGCCCCCAGTGCCTGCGCCCCGAACCTCAGGACGTCCGCAGCATGGTGGGCGAGGTCCTGCATTCCTGGGCAGGACACCTGAGAAGCTTGAGAATGGAAGTGCGGCCCGAAAGAGAGCCACAAAAAGCCGCGGGCAGCAATATGATGATGATGATGATGTTGACGATGTGGATGATGATGATGGTGATGATGACCATGGTGGTGATGATGGTGTCCCGGTGATGATAATGTTGGTGATGATGATGTTGCTGGTGATGATGATGGTGTCACGATGATGATGATGATGATGACGTTGGTGATCATGATGAGATTGATGATGATGAGATGATGATGAAATGATAATGATGGTGTCCCAATGATGATGATGTTGATATTGATGGTGATGATGATGGAATCCCGATGATGATGATGATGTTGAAGATGATGACGATGATGGTGTCCCGATGATGATGATGTGGATGATGAGGATGATGGTGGTGATAAGGTAATGATGATGATGTTGATGATGGTGGCCCGATGATTGTGATGATGGTGATGATGCTGATGGTCCCGATGATGATGATGTTGTCCCGATGATGATGATGTTGATAATGTTGATGATGATGATGGTGACGATGATAGTGTCCCGATGCTGATGATGATGGTGATGATAATGTTGATGATGATAGTGATGACGAGGTGATGATGATGATGATGATGATGGTGTCCCGATGATGATGATGATGATGATGTTGCTAACGTTGATTACGATGATGTTGATGATGATGATGACGTTGATTGTGAGATCGATTGTGATATCAATGGTGAGACGGAATGTGAAACCGATTGTGAGATCGATAGTGAGATCGATAGCGAGATCGATTGTGAGATCGATAGTCAGATCGATTGCGAGATCGATCGAATGAAATAGATCGAGTGAGATCGATTGTGAGATCGATCGATTGAGATCGATCGAGCGAGACCGCTGGTGAGATCGATAGTGAGATCGATAGTGAGACCGATCGAGTGAGACGTTGGTTCCTCCCCCCCCCGAACCTCCTCATCACCCGAAGGGTGGTCGTATAGATACAGAAATAGGATCACTTGCCCGGAATAAGGAGGAGGATAACGGGGCGCCCTGGGATGGTATCAGTTCACATGCAAGATGAACGATGAGTCAGAATCATGTGAAATGTGCAGTGTCCCGGGGGGAACTGGTAAGTTTCTGGGGAAGTGGAATATGTTTTCCTTCTAGAGAGGACTAGTTGGCGCCAAACAATGCCAAGCACTACCAATCAATAGAGAGGTAATGCCAGACAATGTAAAGCAACGCAAAATGATGCAAAGCAGTGCAAAACAATGCAAAGCAATGCGAAGCATTGCAAAGCAGTGAAAGGCCATGCAAAGCAATGCAAAGCAATGCGAAGCAATGCAAAACAACGCAAAGCAATGCATGGCAATGCAGAACAACGCAAAGCAATGCAACACAATGAAAAGCAATGCAATGCGTGGCAATGCACTACAATGCAACGCAATGCAAAGCAACTCAAAGCAACTCAAAGCAATGCAAAGCAATGCAAAGCAAACAATAACGCGGCGACGGGCGGCGACGAGCCGGCCGGACCGCCACTGGGGCCCAGCGGCGACGGTGGCAACGGGCGGCAACAACCCAGAAGGACCGCTACCGGGGCCCAGTTACCTTAGAACACCACTGAGCAGCCCTAAGTGCAACCACTGTTTGCGGGACAACAACAACGACCATCATCATCACAACCACCACCACCACCACCACCACCACCACCATCATCATCATCATCATCATCATCATCATCATCATCATCATCATCATCATCATCATCATCATCATCATCATCTCATCATCATCATCATCATCATCATCATCATCATCATCATCATCATCATCATCATCATCATCATCATCATCATCATCATCATCATCATCATCATCATCATCGTCATCGTCATCGTCATCGTCATCGACATCGTCATCGTCATCGTCGGCATCATCAGCAGCAGCAGCTGCTGTAGCAGCAGCAGCAGCATCCATCCACCCCCTCATCACCCTCCTCGTCCTCCTCCACGTCCTCGTCAACATCATCATGACCATCATCATCGTCACCATCATCATCAGCATCATCATCATCATCATAATCATCATCATCAGTTTCATCATCATCAGCATCAGCAGCATCATCATCATCATCATCATCATCATCATAATCATCGTCATCTTCGTCATGATCATCATCATCATCATCATCATCATCATCATCATCATCATTTTCATCATCATCATCATCATCATCATCATCATCATCATCATCATCATCATCATCATCATCATCATCATCGTCATCGTCATCGTCATCGTCATCGTCATCGACATCGTCATCAGGAGCAGCAGCTGCAGTGGCAGCAGCAGCATCCATCCTTCCCCTCATCATCATCCTCCCCTCCTCCTTCTCCTACTCCTCCTCCTCCTCGTCCTCCTCCGCCTCCTCGTCATCATCATCATCAGCAGCACCACCACCACCACCACCATCATCATCATCATCATCATCATCATCATCATCATCATCAGCATCAGCATCATCATCATCATCAGCATCATCACCACGGCCATCACCACCACCATCATCGTCATCATCATCATCACCACCATCCTCATCATCATCCTCATCATCATCGTCATCATCATCATCATCATCATTATCATAGTCATAAGCATCATCATCATCAGCATCATCATCAGTATCATCAGTATCATCATCATCGTCATCATCAGCGTCATCATAATCAGAATCAGAATCAGAATCCGCCCCATCATCATCATCATGATCATCATCATCATCATCATCATCATCATCATCATCATCATCATTATCATCAGCAGCTGCATCATCAGCGCAGCCATCCTAAGTACCATCATCACCACCATCATCATCATCACCAGCATCATCATCATCATCAGCGTAATCATCAGCATCATCAGCAGCACCAGCACCACCATCCTCTCCATCAGCATCAGCAGCATCATCATCATCATCACCATCAGCATCATCATAATCATCATCATTATAATCACCATCATCCTCAACATCATCCTCAGCATCATCATCGGCAGCATCATCATCAACAGCATCATCACCATCCTGGTCGTCGTCATCATCTTCATTGGCATCATCATCATCAGCAGCATCAGCATCATCATCATCGTCAGAATCGTTATCATCACCACCATCAACGTCAGCATCATCATCAGAATCAGTATCACCATCAGCCTTATCAGCAGCATCATCATAGTCATCATCATCATCATCACCACCACCACCACCACCATCATCATCATCATCACCATCACCATCACCATGATCATCATCATCATCATCATCATCATCATCAGCATCATCATCATCATCATCATCATCATCATCATCATCATCATCATCCGTATCGTCATCATCAGCATCATCAACAACAGCATCGTCATCATCAGTACCAACGACATCATCAGCATCGTAAGAAGTATCATGTTACTCATCAACATCAACAGCAACATCATCACCGTCCTGGTCATCAGCATCATCAAACTCGTAATCAGTATCAGAACATCCACCTTCATCAGAATCGTCATCAGCATCAACAACATCATCGTCAGTATCATCACCTGCAGCATTACGATCATCAACCGAATCATCGTCGTCATCATCGTCACCATCATCATCATCATCATCATCATCATCATCATCATAGTTAGCATCATCAACATCATCATCATCATCATCATCATCATCATCATCAGCATCATCATCATCTTACTCGTCATAGTCGCATTCATCCTCATCCTCGTCTTCCTACTCCTCTCGAGACAAGAGGCAGGCAGGTCGAGAGGGGGGGGGCGACGAGCAGATGGCGTGAAAGGAAACGCGGTGAAGACTGAAAGACGACGAGCGGATGGCGCAAGCGGGGGGACGGGGAGACCTGGGCGACCGACGATGTGGATCTTCAACACAGGGGGGCCCCAGAGGGCCCGACCCATGTCGCGGGGGGTGCCGAAGGTCCCCTGACCCGCGGTGCCCCCAAGCTCGTCGCTCCATGTCGTGGCCCCTGGGCCCGTCTGGGTCTCGCGAGGGGTGCTCTGGAGGCCGTGGGGGCCTCCCTGCAAGTCCTGGAGGCACCTTGGGCCAGGCGCCCTTCTGCCAACCAGAACCCCCGACTTCTCCAGATGCACCTAGGGCTCCCAACTTCGCGCTTCGCGCTGCGCGAAGCGCGAAGCGCGAATAACTTCGCGCTCTCGCGCCGCCCTCCCAAAGGGAGAAAAGGAGGACGAGGAGGAGGGGGAGGAGGAACGAGGACCGCGAAGCGCGAAGCGCGAATAACTTCGCGCCCTCGAGGGAGCCCTTGCGAAAGAAACTGCGCGTAAGCACATAGGCGCTCGCAGGCCCACGCAGATCCTCTTGGGAGTCGGCGCTGGCCCCCGCCCCCCAAAACACCCCGTCTCGTGGACGTGGAGGGAGGAGCTCCTGCGCCGAGCGCAGAAGTCCCCTCCTGCCTCCAGAACTCGGAACTCGGAACTCGGATGTCCTCGAAGGTCCGCCAGGGGCGGCACTGCCGGGGGTGTGCAGGACGCGAACCTGCCTCTGGAGGAGGAAGGAGGCGACATCCAAACCCTCCCCCCAGCAACAATCGATTCTCCTACACCGACGGGAGTCGGGGCTAGGGTTCGGATGTCGCCGCGTGTTCGCCGAACTCCGACCCCTGTCCCCGCCGCCGCCCATGGAGTTGCCTGAACCGTTGATCGGCGAGGGTAGCGTTCGGATCTCGCCGCCGAGGAGAGGCACGGGCGCGCCGCGCTCGCCTGCATCTTCCTCCACCTCCTCGAAGCCCATTCGGAGGTAGAACTTGAGGAGTTCCACCTTCGCCTCCAGCATCTCCTGCACCGCCAGGAGGAGTGCGCGAGCGAGCGCCGGAGTCGCGCGCGATCTCCGCCAGGGAGGCCGCCCGAGCCCCTCAGCACATGGCGTGGAGGCCGTAGCCTCAGAACGTGAGCTCGAGCGCGAGAAGCGTACTCCTGATGCCATGATAGTCGCCCCCCCCTTGGTTCGAGGGGAGGGTGGGCGCGTGCCGTCGGGGCGGGATTGGGGAGGGTGATGGCAGTTTTGAAGCTCGATTTCCTGGGCCAGGTGGGGAGGGGGAGAATTTTGGACGCACGTTGAGGGGCGGTGGGGGGTGGGGAGGGATGGGGACGTTCCGTCGGAAGGTTAGTCGCCCCCCCCCGATCGACCGTGCCATACGGAGTACGCGGGCCCACGTGGCCGATTCTGAAAACCCGGAACGCAAAAAGGCCTGCCACCTGTTGGGAGGGCGAATCTTTACTTCCGCCGGCTTCCGCAGGCGGAGCCGCCCTCGCTCCGCAGGCCTCCGCCGACCTTCAGCCGCCTTCCGCCGAGAAAGAGATGACAGCTCAACCGATATTCGAAGGCGAGGCCCTTTCTGGAATGCCTCACGTGAAACCACCACTCGGTGCTCCCAGCAGCCAAGATCCACAGCAATTCATTTGTGCTGTAGTGCTCGTGCATTGCCGGAGGAGGAGGCCGACGACGACGAGCAACAGCAGCAGCAGCAGCAGCGGCAGGGGCGGCGGAGGCAGCAGGGACAGGGGGCGCCGGAGCTCTGGGATATGGGCACGGCGGGCGCGAGGAAGAAAAACGCAGAATGGAGGCGGTCAGGGGCAACGGAAAGCACACTCAAGTTCTCGGAAACCGAGAAGGGGGACCGATGGAATAATAGCCCTCATGTGCTAACTCAACTGGAAGAACCGGCGGGATGGGAGAAACAGGAGATATCATGCGCGCCACCGCCCCGTAGGCACTGAGCAGAGTGGTCGCAGGTCCGTTCGAGCTTTCTACATTGAGAAATGTCATCAAAACACTCTTTCAAGGGGGGCGCAGGGCCCAAGGGGCCGACTTCTCAGTGCGCGCCGCGTGACGTGTGGGGCAGGTCGCGCGAAGATCCCTAAAGTGAAGAGCTCCAAGACAGGCCAATAGGCTTTCAAAGAAAGCCCCAGGATGGCCAAAGAGGACCCGACACGGCCCCAGAGCGCTCTTGAACAGCCCAAGACGGCCTCCACACGGCCCAAGAGGTTACCAAGACGCCCCAACAGGACTCCAAGATGACCCCCGAAAAAACCCAAGATGCCCAAATAATTGGTTGGTTAAAACATGTTGGGCCACTCAGTTTGAAGGGGGCTGGGAGGCCCAGCCAGCAGCTTCGCCTTAAGCGAAGCCAAGCCAAGCTCCAGCTCTGTTGTACCGTAGCAATGATAGTCCCAGTAGGAGTGGATGTGCCATCTTAAGCAATAGGAAGATCCTTTTGGTCTCGATAGCGATTGTGTGTCTCGCAGTGAGGCATAATCATATTTGGGCGGCCGGCCGCTTGCGCCGACGCGGCCGCGGGCGCACGCTCGCTTCCACTCCTTACGTCCCTCACCTCGCTGTAGAATCGGGGGGGGGGGGGGGGTAGGGAGACGAAGCGTGAACCCGTCGCCCCTATAGAGCAGGCACAGCAGCTAATGTTCACAAGGACAGAATAGGAAGCGGGCGAAAAGGAAGGTGGACCCGCTCGCAAGTTGCCTCGCTTGTGCAGTTCTGTAATTGACGCAATTACCAGGCGGCGTCAGAACTTGATGTCTGGCCGGCCCGATATGGAGCATGTCTCTTCAGGTCATGCTTGAAGGCCTGTATACCTCCCATGACTTGTAGGGGCATTTCTCTGTCGATGCTCCCATTGGTGTGACCATCCGCAGTCATATCGCGGGTGTCGCACCACTGGATGCTGCGCACAATCCCACGCTCCATCATCTGCCGTATCCAACTGATGTGTCCTAAAATTGTACATTCAGTCGGCTTCTTCAAGTCTTTGCTTGACAAGGATTTAGAAACAGACTCAGCTGCTATGGTCAAGGTGACCTTGATGCTCAGGCCACCCAACTCAAGTATATATCTCAACTGAGTGGGCGTGAGCGGCCCTGCGTGGAGCTCGTGCAGAGTCACAATCGTGGGATAACAGTCCTCCAAATGATGGGCTGCTGCTAGTGTCTCTGCTGAATAGCTCGAGCGGACCTGCAAACGGCGAGACTTGCAGTACGCATCGATCAAGTGAACGACAGGCTCACCGGATGACGTGCTTCCACGTCGCAGCAGGCTTGCCCCGCGAATACCAGAACCCTTGACGTCGCCATCGGCGTCTCCACTCAGGCGTCGGTATCCTGAGTCGCTATGCAGGTCGACCTCGCCCGGAGGATTCATCGCCTGGTAGACAATCTTCTTTGGGCAGGCCTGTAGCTTCCCGGTGATCGCGCTCAGTCGTCGCACTTGGACGTCGGTCGGTTCTAGGACGCGCTGTAGAGAAACAACATACACCATCAACCACACCTGGGTGATTAATGCATACGCCAGCGCACCCCTGAGGCTGACGAACATGCACGCAACCATCTCGGCTGCCTGAGCGTCAGCGTCGGCGCCGGTCAATTCAGGATGTTGCGTTGGGCGGTTGATGTTTTCATCCTGGTCCAAAGTGACACTGCCGTCCTCATCTTTGGTGCATTTCACAGCCCAGTTGGCGCACGTGTGCGCGTTGAGTTTGCACTTACCAAAAGTATCTTCAACGCACTTGACATACTTGTCAATGGTGTCCGTCGTACTGGCCGTATTGATGTCATCCACATGCTTGGCCGTGAGCAAGTTGTTGCTCGTTTCGAACCTCGTCGTAGGACGTGGGTCGGAGACCGAAACCTCTGGTGGTCCTTCTGAGCTTTAGTGAGAAAACCCGTGGTGCGTCTTTGGTGCCTGTGCCTGGTTTCAAGCACTGTAGGCAGTGCTTTGACCCATCGTAGCGCTCGAATCCTGGGAGAGTTCGGAGCACTGTGGCCATTCCAGGCGGCAGAATAAAACGCACCACAAATTCCTTTTCATCAGTAGCCTTTGCAAGTCCCTGATACGTCAGTCCCTTCAGGAAGGCCATGTTGATGTCGAGGGAAGCAATGACCCATTGCTTCGCGCGCGCTGCCGTGCTGGCGAGTAGCCTCTGGCTTGACCGTCGCGCCGTTCCCGAACATGCTTCTACGTGGAAGGCTCCAAGGTCCATGAAGTCTCGGAGAACCAAGCGTAGTCTGATGGTACGTTCCATCTCGTCCTTCTCGTTATTCACGAACTTCCATTTGCACGCGTATCTCGAAATCATGATGCGCGACGCATTATCGAAGCATGTCGTGAGTTCAGTGCAGAGGGCCTTCGATATTTTATCGGGATTTGCCTGATGTCAGCTTAGTGAGGAACTCGTCTTCCTTGACGACCACAGTTTGCTTTGCAACGGCGGCTACGTATACTCGCAGTCGTCACCCAGTCGGCATCTAGTACCATATGTTGTTGTTCGGACAGGACTATCATTGACATTTCTGTCGTAAAGCAGAGATCGACAGATTGCCAATTCTCATCTGAGTCCAGTCCGTAGTTGTCGTCTTCGACCATGGTGCACATTGGGACGCAGTACGCCTCCTCGTTATCGGAGTTGCGAGTGCGCCCCCACTTCGGCAGGCGCCCCCGCTGCTCATCAGCTACAGTGATCAGCACACCTTGATATGGAACAATATGTGTAGGCATGGCGAAGAGATTATCTGGTGGAGTTGCCTCCAGCAGTTTCATTCCCTCTTGCAGTGCTGCGCACCACACTTCCATAACATTCGACTCGAGATCAGCCTATGATTCTTCGTGAGTCGTAGGAAGCCGCCCATCATCATGTGGTGGTTCGGCTTCTGAGGCTTCTCTTGTGGTTCCCTCCGGCGTCGGCGTATCTGCCAATACCTCAAATCTTGACATGTCCTGATCAAAACCTGCTTGAGGTTTAGTGCACTTCAGGCATTGAATAATTCTCATACGTGCTGATCCAGTTATATCGTGTATATTCAGAGCAGTACCTTCTGCATAATAATAATGGAATCCTGGATTCACGTCGTTGTCTCAGTGGACCAATGCGTAGCTGTCGGCATAAGTAACCAGAGGCAGCTGATGAGCACGCCTGGCTGGCCTGACTGAAACTACACTCGCAATACGAAAGAGGGTTACGATAAGGTGTTGTAACGCCAGGTGTAACTTGGGAGATAGACGGCGAGCAGTCGTCATCTGAAGCGCTCCTTTCTTGGTCGGCACATAGCCAAAGGTCAGAGCAGGTCTCCCCGCCGATAGGCTGGCTAGGAGTGTTAACACTGTGCGTGGTGCAATGTTGTCGGAGTCAATCTCTCGGGCTACCCGTGCTCCGATGTATAATGAACGTGGTGCATCGCCGTGCTGTACTTGCACATCTCGATTGCCCACTCGGATGATGACCTGACCCCTTTCCGGGATCATTGTTTACCATTGGGAACGGGCCATTACAGCCCCCCCAGTCATCCTTCGCGGTCGCGGGGCGATGATAATCGACCAAGTCTCCTTCATCGTAATAGTGCTGACCAGTAATAGTCGCTTTAGTGCGCGAGGCACGATCGGTCTTAGCTACTGCTGTGGCCTGTGTGATAGCTTCAATACATACCCTGCGCATCGTCTGCTCGCGAGAGTGGTCCGACGTTTCCGACGGATGGGATCTCGGCCAGGGTTCAGAACGCGTTGATCTTCGTCTTAATCGTCGTCTTGATCGTCGTCTTAAGCGTTCAGAACGCGTCCTGAGGGCCACGTTCTTAATCGTCGTCTTGTGTTTTCCTGCAAGAAGGTTAATAGTGGCGCTGCGTCTTTCGACTACGCTTGTCTTTATCCAGCCCGCGCCCTGAGCACGGTAAGCAATCCGCCTCTCAGGGGGGAGATCCATCTCCTCAGTAACAACGCACCTGGGATCGATCGGAACATCCGTCTGACACGTAGCGCCCGCGCAACCCGAATCGTCC